GGCAGTGGCGGCGGCGGCGGCAGTGGCAGCGGCAGCGGCAGCAGCAGAGACGGCGACGACGGTGGTGACGACGACGACGACGAGCACGGACACAAGCACTACGACGTCGAGGCGCAACGAGACGACGAGGAGTGGCCGAGAAGAAGAAGAGCAAATTGGTGCTCCCGGTAGCAGGGGCCCATGAGCGCCGTGGAGGAAACGTTGCGCAACGTGTCGAGGCGCAGCAGACACGGCACGCGTGACGGTGGCGGTGGCGGTGGCGGCGGCGGCGGCGGCGGCGACGGCGGTGGCAGTGGCGGCGGTAGTTCAACTAACACCGATTGGTCCGCGGCGATTGTACGGGGCCCAGCCCAGCCGACCCCCATCGCTGCACCGACCACCACATCCACCGCCTTCGCCAGGCCCCCAGGATATCACGGGCCCGACCAGACGCCAGTCCTCGCGTGACAGCGTCGACTCCGCCGGCCAGCACACCCCACCTGATCACGCGGACCTCCTCTTCAAGGTCTTGCTATACTCCCTGATACCCGTTTCTTTGCGCGCTCGCTCATCTCACGCGACTTGATATACCGACTTTTATTATAGTTCTCTCAGAAATGCTTTATTAATTCTTTGTGAACATAATCATTTTTTATCCTACATGAAAGAGATAGAAAATATAATTTTTTATTTTATATTTTCTATATATTTGTTTTATTTTAATTTTATTTATTTTACTTTAGCGTACTTTTAAATTTGGCTGATTATTTTTTAACAATATATGTAAATTTTAGGAATGTTACATTGGTTGCTGCAGCATTGTCTTTCTTTTCTTCGAAGCTTTCGTGAAATATTAGTTCGGAGTTGAGTGCTAGATCAGAATTAAGCGCTACGCAAATGATGAGCGAGCTGGTATAAGAATGAAACGTTTGTTTGAATGTGTGATCGTTGCTCGATGCAGGTGATGTTACTTGGAGATAGCGGCGTTGGGAAAACCTGTCTTCTAACGCGTTTCCGCGATGGTCTCTTCTTGTCGGGAAACTACATAACGACTGTCGGCATTGACTTTAGGGTGAGATCTCTCAGGGTTATTCCATCTTGTACTTAGATACGCGATTAATAAAGAACATTTTCACGTTAATAAAATTTTTATTAATGATTTACGAAATCATTAATTTTCTAATAACGAAATGCATGTTGCTCACATTGAATGATGATATCTTTGCAATGTAGATTGGTTGATCTTCAAGAAGTTAAGAAAAATAAAAGGATTGTTTTTCGTACTTTTACAGAACAAAGTTGTCATTGTCGACGACACGCCGATCAAGCTGCAGATATGGGACACAGCCGGCCAAGAAAGATTCCGAAGCGTAACGCACGCTTACTACCGAGACGCACATGGTAAATCTTTTAAATTACAAATTTACTTCGATTTAATAATGGTCGCGAAACACGAAATATCAATTGACAAATATATTGAAACTGAAATTAATAATAAATTGATAATTAACATTAATATCAAGAGATTTGAGGAATGTTTCTTGTCGCTTGTACTACGTATATACATCGCAACAAATCATTCTCTAAAATTTTGCATTTTACTTGCGAATTTTATTTAATATAATACTGTGTATCTAATACAGAATTAGTATTATTATTTTAATGAGAGGCTTGGTTGGTTTAATGCACGAGAACAGCGCTTTTCGAGAATCGCAGCGCTTTTAATAGAAGTGTGTTTATCACATTGCCGACAAATTCGATATTGTTGATGATTTTCCATGTGTTTTGTAATATCTCGCAATGATTTAATTTTTACGCTACAAACATCACTTTTTTTATAAGCGAAAAATTATTAGTGAAAAATAATAAGAAATATTTCAGCAACAGATGTAACGCATTTTCAAGCACCAGGTATTTAATACATATTTATAAACGCGTATTTTAATCAACAAGATTGACAATTATGAAACACGACATTTTTAACACGATTATTGTTATTAATGCCCAGATTCTTCACTACATCAATTTACGAATTCATTAACCGATTTAAAATTAAATTTTTCTTAATAAAGAAATAATGTGTTGTAGGTTTTTTTTTTTTTGATAATTTTGAATAGTTTAGATTGTTGTAGTTTCCGGGTATCTTAAAATGTTATTATTGAAAATGTTACCGAGAAGAATGTACAAAGATGACATATTAAAATAGATAGAGAATATAATTTTGTGTTGTAAAACTTTCGAGTCTTAAATTTTCATTTCTGTTTTTCTCAAGAACTTATCTATATAAAATTGGTCTTAGGACTTGGAATTTAGGATTTCTCTTGCGCATGTAACTATAAACTTTCCGATGTACAATGCGAAACAACAGCGTTACATTGGTGCGTCTTCGGGGAAATCTTAATTGCTCATCTCGACTTGATTGTTCACACTTGGGACGTGGTCCGTTTCTGGCTTTGGAATGATAAATTTGCGTTATCTCTTTACTCAAAGCAAACTCGACTTTACAATGCTTGAATCATTTGTAACTTCCTATGATTCGAATCTTAGCCGCTGTTCCCGATTTTGTTGCTCCGCCAGTTTTGGCCAGATGCCAAACTCAATTCGCGCGATACGAGGAAGGAATATAAGGAGGTTGCCTAAGGGGGAATCTCATTGTTTGCCGGCAATCTGTGAATTCTAAAGGTGTTGCGACAATAATGCTGCGTTGCATCTCAACTTCGGAAGTAATCATTCCAGTCGAGTAAATTCAACAATAATTAGACGCGTCACTCATCTAGAAGATTAAATAGCAACTATTGAAACTACACAGAATCGAGACGAATTCAAAGCAAAAGTAGATTGAACTTGCAACAATTTGTAAAGCTTTTCAAACTATAGTTCAATTTAATTAAAGATTTAATTCAAAATTTATGACTAATAATTATATAAATTATATTATGTAAGACTTGTATATTACTAATTAAGACTTGTATACTACTAATTAACAAATTATAATACTGTCCTTTAACCGTATTATAATTTAAAAGTAAAATTTAAAAGTATATTTTACATAAAACAAATAATTAAGTATATAACGTAATAAATAATTCACAATAGTGATCGAAAGTGAGAAAAAAATTGCAGTTTGATTTATATGAATTTCTGTTTTCATTTTTACTTTAAACTCATTACTATTATTTAATGTATTAAAATTCAATACATAAGAAAAACGAATGCATACATACGTATCTATACACATTTCGTAAAATATTTCGAAACATTGGTGCAAATTCGAGAAATAATCGACGCTAAAAGTCAATAAGAAAGGCAATTCACACGATTGATTGCAGCGCTTCTGTTGCTGTACGATGTGACAAATAAGACGAGTTATGACAACATTAGGGCTTGGTTAAGCGAAATCCGGGAACACGCAAATGAAGATGTCGTCATTATGCTGCTGGGTGAGTCGTATTTATATTTATTCCTATACTGATACGATAAATATACCCACTTATTGGATTTAAACGGTTTACGATTTCTGGAACGCTAAATGCCAAAAATGAGGGCCGTAATAACTTGACGGAGATAAGAGCTCGAGAAAGCTGTCTGAATGACCTAGATTTGATTTTAACGACATCCCAAGCTGATATACTTCCAATTATCGAATCTGATTTAAATCAGAGATTCAAAACTAACAATCCTGGTTTTGGGGAGGATCGAGTTTAACTAGCGTTTCCGCTTAATTGCAATTTGTATTGCTTTGAAAGCAATTAAGATCGATCTTCACGAGCCTGCGTTTGGCTGGAAATACATTCGATGCAAGTGTAAAAAAGATAGACATATTTTCGACATGCCACAATTTTACGTTTCATTTTTAGCTTTTAATTTGAAATCCAATTTCAATCCAATGTAAATATCATGTGTGGACTATCTGTCCATGTAAATTGACCTTAATTGCTCACAGGCAGTCCAGACGGCGTCGACCGACCGTTATATTAGCTTCATCATGGAAAAATTGGATATTTTGTGATAATTTATCTTCTCGTCGCTATATTAAACCGTAGGTAATAAGTCCGACTGCGGGACGGAGCGCGCTGTTAAGCGAGAAGACGGCGAGCGATTAGCGCAGGAATACAAAGTGCCGTTCATGGAAACGTCTGCCAAGACTGGCCTCAATGTCGAATTGGCGTTTCTCGCCGTTGCTCGGTACGGTCTCGATAAAATTAACAAATGTAGCGTAAGATGATACGATCGACTAATATCCATATTTATCAATGTAGGTTAACTTTAATCTCAGTTTAATTTACTTTAGATCTTCTTTTAATTAAAAGAATTATAAAAGGATAAAGAATAATTAAACTGAAATTAAAATTAAGACATTGGTAGAAATGGATATAATACATATTAATTTGTATTTAATTTTACTTTAACATTTGATTAGCTTTAGTTTAGTTTGTTTCTTTCAAATTAAAAAATTTAATTTAAATCTAAGAGAGATAAAAAAAAACAAATGAACTAAAATAAAAATCAATCAAGTCTGGAAAGTTTTGTACATTTTTAACAAAAGACAAAGACTGATTTCTCGAAACATTGAAGAGAAATCAATATAAAGCTAAATAATGCTAATTGATTTCAGGGAGTTGAAGGCCAGAAAAAGCGACAACCCTGACGAGACGAAATTCAACGTTCAGGACTACGTACGTCAGCAGTCGCAAAGAAACTCCTGCTTCAACTCCAGCTGCCTGACAACCTGAACTACTTTTTTTTTTACATTAAATTATAAGAATACGCGAATTGGAACCGCGTTGAACGCGAGAAGGATGTGAAATCAGCGAAATCAGATGTTCATTTGATTTTCGCGCAAGATCATCGGTGTAACATTCGTTGCGGGGCATTATAAATTTTATACTCAATTCACAGAATAGATTTGTGAACCTATCACAATGCAGGCAAATCGATACAAATTTGGATAAATCGAAATCACTGAGTGATCAATAATATCGATCAATATATTCTATAAAAGGAACTAGCGTATTTATTTTGTTCAGCGGAGAATTATAAATGTAGCGTAAAATCGCGCACGCGATACCGAAGATAAAAAAATCAGTTGAATTTTGTTTAGCATAGCGTCAGAGGGAACACTGAGTTCTCGCTAAATGTAAGCAAATGTGTCATGTGGTTATTCGCACACGCTGTATATTTATGTGAATAATTGTAAGAGGACATAGAAAGAATCTCACACGCAGGTCACCCAAGTAGGTAAGGCTTTTGCTCGATGGTTCTAATTTCGCGTATGCTATGTTCGCATGCATATGCATGTAGGTATATATTAAGCGCTTAGCGCGTTCATTAACGACCGTTGAGTGTAAATTGTAACTTTGACTGTCATACGCCGATTCCGCAATCATTCATTATGTTGCGTTCCATTAATGTTCGCTGTTTGCAACAAAGGAGCGCGAATAATCTTCGATTTGCATACAATATGCTTGTTACAAGTTATAGCGGCGCATACGCTCGGCGCGACTGCACTTCCTTCGCGGTATCTGCGTGAGCAGACAAAATATCAGTACAAGCTCAGTCGTACCAAGTAGTTGCGAGGTAATGAGTATCGAAAGAGACGGACAGACAGAGAA